CTACTTGTTTTTGCGTAGTTATCCTATGTTTACATTGGTTGTACGGCTCCACGTGCTGTCATCGAAGCCCAACGGAGAGCTAGCGACACGGTCACTTTGATGCATAAATATATATTGTCATGCAACTCGCTTTCGCAATTGTAGTAGCATATCTATATAGTTATGCAAAACAATATGTAAAGCGCCCCCAAATACTTGCATTAGTCCGTTCTATACTGATTTCTGAAAAAGCGCGTTTGTTTACAAACAAGAGAAAAGTCCGGTCACGTGATATGCAAATTAGCCTGTGGCAGTGGTGTTATGCTGAGTCACCACTGCAACGGAGTGTGAACAATATACTGCAAATTACGTCATAGGGTATTGTCACGTGAAAAGACTGCGGTACTGTATTCTAAAGGTAGGCCGACCGTTTTTATTGATACGAAGAGTTTGTTGAAGTTTGAGATGATCTGAGTTGTCAACAAGTGATCATAATGCCAGGAGGAGATCTAACACGACCCATAATTCACGACGGGGTACGATGACATGCATTGAAACCTGGTCGCCTCTTACGATAAGCGTAGGTGGAGATGGGCCTGCATAACCAGTAACCCCGAGCATTATAGTCCTTATAATAACATGAAGCCAAATCTTTAAGAATTGAAAATTTCATCTTATCCTTATGGTACTCTACTGGGTTGTTTGGCAAGCCCAACAGGGGTAGAAACTAAGAGCTTTAGAGCGGAGGCGGGTATTACCGATATGGTAAGGGGGAAACCCTATGCAAATAAAAACATAGTGCATTTGGGCGACGAGTTCTCTCAAATGTGTTTTCGGTCAACTCTATTACCACAATATGCAGTGTGGCCATGTTTTTTATGTAGTGGGTTCGTAACAGGCATGAAAACGCAAACCCGGAAGTTCGGCATTTACCGATGAAGGGTGGGTCTGCCGATGACTTCGGTCGGGAATTACCGATAGTTTAAATTGAACTCACACTTTTAAGTAATTAGTACCTGTGTGTACTGTGTAGTGCTAAAGATATATTTATGAAATCCTAGCCGTGTAAGACCCAAAATAATATGGCAATCGAAGGTTCATTCCGGCAGAGAAAGTATACTAACTTATGACATGCGCATTTATGATGGGTAAATGTGTATGTTTAACGCGTTTGAGATGGGGTTTATAAATCCATCGGTGAATGCCGAATCATCGGTAATACCAGACTCCGCTCTAGTCCCCTTGTCCTTACAATGATAACATTTAGAAAAAACCTTAAAATTGGCATAACTCTTTCAACACCGTAGTCCTTATGATACCTTTAACTATTGGATTGATTGACAAGGACTATAGGACTTTTGCCAATTTCTAACGCTGCTCGATAAGAAAAGTGGCCATTTCTATAGCTGCAAACGGGAGCGAGGGACAAGTATTTTTCCCCAATGATTATTCAATACGATTAAATTCAAGTACTTAATTTTGTCACTCGGGGATACGTACCAGTGCATCGATCTTCTTATTTATCCAGAGCATGTAATTCGCCCAGTGGGTCTGCATGTAACGTCTATTGACGAAGTACAGCGCCTTCTTCTGAACGGTACTAAACAACAGATTTACATGAAAAATTGAAAACTACATTACAAAATGAGTTATCTCGTAATCGACGCACATTTAGCTCTACTGCAGTACACCTCATCCACAGGGTGCTGAACATTTCATTTCATTCAGCCTTACACGCTTAATATCTCTCACAGGAACTCGAGGATAGCATGTATAATATATTCGTATAGAAAAAAATCACAACTCTTACTCGAGCAAAACACAATTTTATATGTCAAATTAACATCCCCCCCCCCCCCCCGTCCCCCCCATCTTGTCCAGCGAGTACGAGATAAGCTTTAACGAAAATGGCCCGTGACCATAGAAATGATATCATATACTTACGACAATGTTCTGCCATGAACTCTAAGCCATTTGACCAGCCCTCTATCGAATCCAGCAATGATCTGTACCTTCAGTGCAACTTCAACTTGAACGTCAAATGTAGTGAAATTAGCATTAAAACGAAACATATCAAACGTCTTCGCTTGCATTTTACCGGATACCTTTCCGCCATGTATGTTTGATTCTTCCAATATATACGAGTCATGTTTCAAAATATGTTTGGTTGGTTATATTTGAACAAGAATTTATACGGTATCAGAACATTTGAAACAAATAACAGGCCCAATCCATGCACAAACCACGGAAGGTATCCGTTGCCAAGAAGTTCGATATGCATGCAACCTTTATTATAGTAAATACTATGATCGAGGAAATAAATCATGGTAGGCGGTGATATTGATAATAAATATGAATTAGGACATTTTCAAGATTTTAACAGGACATTGCCAAGTTTGAACATAATCAGTTTCACAGTGTGGACGTAGCTCGGTCGGGTTAGCTGTCGGGCTAACCCGCAGGTCGCGAGTTCGCCTCCGACGGATTCTCTCAAAAACTGCTTGCTTGTCTTGACCTACGGCAGAGATCGTCTTCACGAGAAGTTGTGGTACTTTTCGGATGTGCGACACGCAACTTTTTTGGTTTGGTTTGTTGTTTTACGCCGCACTCAGCAATATTCCAGCTCTATGACGGCGGTCTGTAAATAATCGAGTCTGGACCAGACAATCCAGTGATATCATGAACATCGATCCACGCAATTGGGATCGATGACATGCATCAATCAAGTCAGCGAGCCTGACCACCCGATCCCGTTAGTTGCCTTTTACGGCAAGCATGGGTTGCTGAAGACCTATTCTACCCGGATCGACACGCAGCTAATGGTGAATTAATTCACAACTCTAATACGATATCCCTCGAACTGATCAGAGGCACCCGATTCGAAACTAAATACTTGCAATCGTGAATATTAGTCATTTATAAGTATCACTTTCGGTTGATCTGCAGCAAACAATGTACGATGTCATAACACGCAGGTAGGGCTGGCTTAAAAGATCGATAATCAGAAATATCGTCGATGGGATATGAGAAATTATGTCATCGATAACACCTACATAAATGTGATGAAATATTGATGAACTATATTCATGGGCTTCTATTTTTGGGGGTCCATGTGGGTCCCCACTTCGGGGTTTCCGTAACAGAACAATCTACCCCTGCTCCGATATTTGATCGATGTTTTGGTAACGATTATCGTTTTATATGATCTACATCGGTAGCCAGCCCTGCATGCAAGTTCGAAAAGAAAACCCTGGTCTATTACCTTACCTTCTTTCAGACATGGCGGAATGTATCCGGTAAATGCACCAGTGACCATTTACTCTGTGCGACTGTAGCGCTACGACTATTTGTAAGTGTTATTAAATGCATAATATAGAACTACCGAATATCTTCCTATTTACAATATTTATTGCGCTACAATAGCTTTGTACAAGTTGGTCCACATCTAAGTTAAACATCGACTTTACATGACCGTGTTTGTTTTCTCTTTTGAACACGACGCATAGCGTGGAATGCAACCGGTACGTTCAAAATTCACGACGGGTGTCAACGCTGGCGGAAATCATTATCGGCAAATCTAAAAGTGTCTCGGAAATCTATTGAAAATTATTTCCCGACGACTTCGAGACAGAAAACAATTGGCGATATTTATATGGTATCCCCAAGCTCCTCACAGCGATAGTCCGTTCTGGGAGCTCTCTATACTATCGCTGCCACCAGTCAAAACTCCCCACTGTGATAGGTGGCCCCAACCATGCTTGGAGTTGAACTCGCAACCGAAGGACCGTTATGTTTACAATCAAGTGACGACAGTCGTGACGCCGAATACACTTACCGCTGATAAATTACTTTCTTTCTTTGTCAATTTGAATTTCTGTTTCATTAATAGTATCATCTTTAATTGATATAGTAAGAATGTAAGGGAGAAGTTGGTTGATTTTCCGTTAGTCTCCAATCTCGAACCAATCTGATTATTAAAACAACACTGTAAATTCATCTGGAAAACATGGTCAGTCGTAAACCTTTTCAAAATGAAATATGATGGCATTCTCAAAGACATAAACAAAAGTATAAAACGTTACTAATATGGGGTTTGAGGGCAAATTTCAAGATTCTTGTAATGGCCGCGCCCACACTGGTGGCAGCGATGTTACCGAGAGTGTAACGAAGGTGTCACGCGCTAGGAAGGAGCTTGATGGTATCCCGTCTTGTGTGATCTACACTGATACAAATAATTGCAGGGTTTCAGATCGGTTTATTTCTAGGACATTTATTATCATGAACTTAAAACAATGAAAAATGATAATGATATAGAATAATGTCCTATGATGATAAATCCTGAAAATGTCCTATTTCTATTTGTCTCCAGCAAAATCACTATACATCATTGCATTAATAAAAAGCAGGGAGTAAACTTATAGAACTGTCCACTGTTAGCTTCTGTTAGAAAGGCCTGACACTGCACTGAAAACAGGGTACCCAATGACCGCAACACCTATTCGGCTTGAAAGTTGGAAAAGCTCACACCCGCCTTCGTAATTCAAAGATAACATTTTGTAAATGCATTTAATATTTCCCCCGAATATAAGCAATATAACAAAAGACATTGTAATAAACGAGGTTTAGAGCATTTCATTCTCTAATTAAACTTTACGAAAGTGAGTTTGGGCTTTCAAGGTTTCCATATTTTACATCTGACAATAACATCAGAAGGTTATGGAAAGCTGTCAAACAATAGACAAACCTGCCTACCTGAATATTATTTATCATTTAGGCCTATATTACAGGGTTCGAAAATAAACTTCAGGCAGGACAAGTGACGTTTCCATGTGGATTACCAGTTTTACCAGTTAATGATGGCAACTCTGTAGCACTGGCAGGTCCTTTTTACAGACTTATGAAAACTAAGTACAGTGGAAACTGGGATTTTATAGTCGGTCAACTCCCTTGCGTCGGGAAGATGGGGAAGATTCCACAAAGAATATTTTGCACAGCAGCGAACAAAGTGAGAAACTACTTACAAGCCTTGTTTAAAAACTTGGGTTCAACATAATGCCAGCTGCGTGACATTGCCAATGTCGCCATCATCGCAAAAATGCAAAGCACCAACAGCTTCATCCTTGAATTGAACAAAAAAAGGTATGCTGCAACTTAAAACAAGTAAAGGTGAAAATGTACATAAAGGAAATACACATAGCGCCTCACTTTACATCATTTGACCAGACTTCCCTCATTTCAGAATTAGCGCGTTAGAAAAAAGTCCGGTCACGTGATTAGTTTGTGACATAGGTGTGTAATATTTCACTTCTCTTGGGAACTGCAGCATACGTCTCAAATTATTTGTTTGAATAAGGAAAATGATATTTTCCTATGAAAATTCCCATACCGTTGTGCTATATATTTGAAAAAGGGGGGTATATTACAGGACCCGGTTGTATCAAACTTTAATGATGCATTAACGTGTCATTAAACCTTCATTAACTAATGTATCATTAAATCCAGTTGTACTAACGTTTTAATGACGTCGTGATGTCATTAGCGCGTCATTAACTTAATGAAGGTTCTGGGGCATCATTAGCGTGTCATTAAAAACAAACATGGCAGCGAACATATTGTTTGAACGCTTAGGACGCACAAGGAAAGATCGTGTTTTCAGAAAACGAACTCAACACCTCGAATCCATGAGCGATGAAGAAGTAAGGGCCCGCTACCGTTTTGGGAAGGCAAGCATCAGATATATCTGCGATCTTGTGAGAGATGAATTACAGCCCAAATCTTCAAGATCGCACGCACTTAGTGATGAACTACAGGTAAATGTTTGATAATTAACACGTCGTCACTAGAAACTCAGCTAGTTTGAAATAAACACATAATTATAGCGCCAAATTTATAGCGGCAATCTTTACAATGAATGAAACGCACTTCTACGTGGGTCAGCTCACTGGTCTGTGTTTGTAAAGTCATACGTGCAGCCTAATGATACCAACCTTGTAAATATATTTCACAATTGAAAGTAATGTAAATTCATGGATCCCTTTCACTTCACTCCAGAAAGATACGTTTTCAACTTGGCGTTGTCAGCCATGATCAATTTCATAAGGGGGAGTTACTCTAATGACTTAAAACTAAATGTGTCGTGCACACTGAAGAGAACAGTTTTGCGTGTTCGATTCCGGCCAAAAGAACCTTTTAATTAATAAAAGCATGCACATCTTATATCAATCATTAACACTTTACTTAGTGAGACATAATGAAAACGCAGCCAAATAAATAACAAAGTAGATATAAGTATTATGGAAATATTTGAAAATTTGTCAAACCTATCATTAGCCTCTTTATAATCATTTTATCAGGTTCTGGTAGCCCTACGTTTCTTTGCAAGTGGAAGTTTCCTGCAAATCACTGGCGACACAATAGGGATAGACAAATCAACATCCTCACGAGTTGTGAGGAATGTTTCCCTTGCCATTGCGTCTCTTGTGCCCAAGTTTGTTACCTGGCCGTCCGAGAGGGATATAGGCGACATCAGAAAGAAATTCTACAATATATCTCGATTTCCTTGAGTCATCGGATGTGTCGATGGGACACATGTACGGATACAGGCACCATCAGACAGCGAACCTTTGTCGTTCTGTAGGTAAACTTACTAACTTAGTGGCGAGATGGCCAGGCAGTACGCATGACAGCCACGTGTTCAAGATGAGTAACGTGCGGCAACACCTGGATACACACCATACGACTCTACAAGACGGCGTTATTGTTGTACGCTGACAAACACCGAGAGCGTTAACTTTGGAAGTTATGTCTGCCCAAATAGCCTTCTTTCTTACACTGCTGCACAACTTACTGTTAAGTATGGAGATGTGTTTCTCCACCAACTCGGCTAATAGCTGAATTTCGGAGCTGTCGAAATTCTTGTTTCTATTCCTAGGTTTAGGTTGATACGATGCCATTTTGACAGACGACCGGAAGTAACGCGTACGTGTTTACGTCAAGGAATTGTGGGAAATATTTAGGGGAAACACCGAATGTATTGACAGGTTAATGAAGACACTTACATTAAGGCATCATTAGATAATGATTATATGCTAATAAACGTTTGATACAACCGATTTGAATGATGCCATTAACTAGTGGTGCATGATGCATTTAATGTATCATTAGGGTGTAATGTAGCCATTAGTTAATGAGGCTTTGATACAACCGGGTCCATTACATTAAAAATTTCAGAAAGTTGGCCTTAGGTGGGGTTGTACCCGCATGAAAGCCCGCTGTGTTGTCCGCCTAACAAAATATATGCCTATTGTTCAAGAAACAGAATGAACTTATAGTAGTATCCCTGCTTTATGTCATGCTCAAAAATGCCTCATAACGGCATAATATGAAGTAGGCATATGCCATATGCCTACTTCCTTGGCATCCGCCATTTTCCTGCCGCTTCAGTTAATTTCCTTAGCCCTCGGGCCTCCGTTATTACATCTTCCCGAGGCAAGAGAGTTAACTGACTTAAAAGTCCAGTTTCAACCCTTGCCGAACTAGGCTGGAATTCCTGGGCTCGATCGTAGCGCCACCAGTGGCTATTACGAGTTATGTCCTTTCTATGCCTCTCCTATTGACCAATCAGTTTCAACCTCTCGTATCACTTGCATTTGCTTCAAACAAAACGGTGGCGCCCAGTCAAGACGATCTGATTGATAATCAAAATCTAAATTGTGATAAAACGAGTCTTACATCGCGAAGTGCATCAAATCACGTGAACACCTTGATTAAAAGCATGACAACGAGTTAGCGGTGCACATGCTTTGTAAATCCTGCAGTCGACCGAAATCTGCATGAGACTTTACGAACCGGATTTCGATTTCGGTGCGCGATTTTGATTGGACTATGCATAGACTCGTTAGTCCAGCCAAAATGTAACTCCATAATACCAGCCTAGTTCGGCAAGGGTGGAAACTGGACTTTTATAGTCAGTTAAAGCCCCACCCTGACTATAAATAGCCCGCAAGGTGGCGGTGTTTCAGTTTCGAACAATGACTGACAATGTAAACACAACCGAGTTTTGGGAGACGTTTTTTGAAAACCATACGGGAACAAGATCACCATTGACCGTCAAACTTCGTATCAACTTGAATGACAAACCATGGATACAACAAATGGCTCCATATCAAGATATAAGTCAATAAATTTTCTGTAGTTTTATCCTAAAAAATCGAATCGATCGTGTTTGGCGTCTGCATCGATCACAGTGGGCGGAGCTTATTTACGTTTGCGCTATAAATAGCAAAGCACATGGTCATGTGTACATGTGGCACATTTAATGCATTTGTGGTCAAAGTGTATTGTGTTGTATATTTTTACGGCAGAACATCAGCAGAACATCAGTTTCAGTTAATGTAAAAGTAACGATACTTAAATACGAAATTGACGACGCGATTCTTTCAGTTCAATCCGAAAATTACAGATATTTGTTTAGTTTTGGTCATTTGCATTCAACAGTTAGATTTGTGCCACACAATAATCAGTTATTCGACGTAATAAGCGCCCACGGCGATATTTGCTAATATATTGGCCAGTGAACAATCCCAATTAGCACCCTTCCGATTGGATTGCTATATGCACCCTTAATTATGGGCAATTAAATTCTGGAAAAATATATCTGTCGTTCACCAAAATAATATTTTAATAGGGGCCCCTTTTTTCTAATTTTGAGAGCGCCCTGGGCGCTTATTACGTCGAATACGGTATATTCATAAAACGTAAATTATTACAGAGATTGTTCAACTAGTGTTTAGGAAGGGGCCTAATTTGAAGCACCAGAAGTTGCGCCAATATTTCTCAGCTTGACTACAATAGATGAATATGTTACGTGTATCAACATAACAATGCACATAAGCAACTGGTAAATAAGTAACTGAATATACTTGATGTTTTGGCCTACAGAAGGCGTATCCGGATAATATTGTACTTACGATAAACGAAAACTCCAATACACATATTCCAAGACAACTTTAATTATGAATTCCCTTTTCTTTCACAGAATTTTCACACACAAAACTGATCAGTAGATCCACACTTGTCCCATGTATTTTTTGTTCGGGGTATTTGGATACACTTCACGCACAAGTTTTAAAATACAATCTGGGATCCCTTTCCCGTTTTGTCCACACCAATCCTTCCTTTGCTGCAACGTTTAATATCCGTTTCTTCAAGTCCAAGTATCTACGATCTCTCCAAACACTTCGTTTATTTAGCTCAGTCCAGAAACAGTGTTCGAATCGACGAATTTCTGCAACATGGTGGCCGCACCATTCCCTAACTGCGATTGTCCGAGCCGTGTCACGCATATTTGACAAAAGAAGTGTGAACATACATATTCGGCTTCATCTGGTTCCACAATGAAATCTCGCTGTGACACTGATTCACTACTCCCAAGAATCGGCACTGAATTTGTCAAAGTTTCTGTTGCACTTGCAAGGGCGGGAAGAGAGGCGCCATCTTGTCGATTCGAGTTGTGAATCGGAATGAAGTCATCTTGAATTGGAACTTTCTCCACGATAAAGTCACCAATGTCACAATCGAAATGACCAAAGGCTTCCTGATTATCTCGAACAACTCTTCGTCAAATTAGGATTTACATGAAAATGTTTTGTTGCTCATATTGAAGACAAGCGAAGTTCTTGTCAGTTGTAAGCAGAAACTCGATGCACTCATGGGGCGTGGTTGCTAGGAGATCGCGAGGTCAGAAAGGGGAAAACAAAAAGTTTTATAAAGTAATAAAAGAAATCCGCAGTGCAATCCCAAAGTACCATGTACAGGATATTTTTTAATAATAATATTCACGAAAAAAAATCTTTTCTAAAAGTGCAAATTAATTTATTGATTCATCCCATGGTCGTAACCCTGATCACGTGGTGGGTATTTGGAAGGAATCTTGTGATGAGGCCGTGAATGAGGCCGTGTGTATAACATTGTTGAATTCAACTGACCAGGGCCCACTTGCACAGAACAATCTTAGTTACAATCGATCTTAGGCGGCTACAATCAACTTTACAATCACCCTACAATTGTCCTATTCCACTTGCACAAACCGATCTTAGCGCGATTGTAAGACGGCTTGGAGTTAAGATCGCGATCTTAGCTAAGATTGAAATCTTCAACTGTGGAGGTACGAATATTTTAAACTCGACTCCTGTCTATAGTTGTCTGCAAACGGGCATAGTTTGCTGCGCATACAATAAGTGGAACCGGTAACGACACGCAACACATACCTCCCTCCATCGCACTTTTCCCAATTATTTGAAGGAAACGATTACTAGAATGAAGGCATATATTCTTGTCGGCATTAATACTGTCGTGATTTAGGAATTGTTTTCTATTTCAACAAGGGAAATACCTACTCATGTATTTATTCAAAGTATTGAAATGCGAATAAATACATTATTTAGTAACACAATTATTATGAAAATTAAAATAAATAATAATAATATTTCCTAAAACCCTACGTGTAAATGCATGATCGTCATCTATTTGGGGGAGTTTTTCTTAAAATCCTAAATATATCCTTCATGTTTTCGTTTCGTTGCTACAACAAAGGATGTTATGACTACCATTTCAAAACACAGAAAGACGGGAACTTTCAAAAACGCATAGACGGGAAATAAGAATAATGAGTAATGTTTCGAGAAAGCAATTGTTAATATATATTCCCTAGGTATTAATTTAAAAAAAAAAATATTTTAAAATGTGAATTTTATTTTTGCTATTTATGGGATATTTTGCAAAAAAATCAAATGTTTCATCATGTATATTTGCTTGTTTGATTAATACATGTATTTTTTTCTTTTAAACTCTGATTAACCGCTCGTCCCCGTCCCATTTGATTTTAGATTTAAACATGTATGATTTGCTCTTCAGCTTGTATTAATGTGTAGATTAATTTCATGATAAATAACTGACACGAATATGACCCAAAAGATATATAGGGGAAGCTCAGCGATTCAACAACATTGATACACTGGGTAAGGTAGATTGTACTCTACGGGCTTATACAAAGGGAAACCACTCCCATCTAAAGTATAAACTAAGATTAGCTGCCCTTGATTTATCGAAAAGGTCACGGACGTTGCAAATCGCTTGCGGGACGACTTAGGTTTTTATCCTTCCGTTGTTTAGCGAAAAGGTATGTTGTTTCAGTATTGAGTCGGATGGGAATATTCCTTTTAGCTATCGACTCGATAGTTACGTATTTAACTATGGTAATTAACGATATTTCTGACGTTAAATCTGTGGTGCGTTCTTCATGTTGTTAAAGTGTCGATTCGAATGATAAAGTTTAGTAAAAAAGAGAGGCAATGTTTGAACGTAAAGCAGATTATTTATGTGAAACAGACTAAGCCTTGCACGCCATTTTGTCAAGTTTATTCAGGGACTACAACGATCTTAGCTACTTAAGATTGGTCCGGACCAATTGTAAGTTTCGATTGTAGCTTACAATGATCTTAGCCTACAATCGCTTTGTGCAAGTGGATGACAATTGTAGCCGAAGCCTAAGATCGCGATCTTAAGGATTTACAATAATCGTAGCGCTAAGATCGCTTTGTGCAAGTGGACCCAGGAAGGTTGTTGAGGCACATTATTACAGATGCTCGTCATCGATGGAGAAAAAAATGTATCTGAGAGACACATTGTTGCTTTGAGCTTCGCGACAAAACATGTGTTCATGCCGAAGTAGTTTACAAGAGAGGATGATCTGTGCAGCCAGCGACCTGAATAAGCTTGATGAAAATAATGTTGAAATCCATTTTCTCGCACATGACAGAATTAATGTGAACAAATATTTATTTGAACATCGTTTCGAAGTCTGTGAGGCTGTCCGTATTTTAATATTCTTATTTCCATTGCGACGTGAAATAATATAATGTTTTCGTGTCTTAATTTTGCTGCCGCTGTGGAAAATTGCGCACCGATCTATTAAAAGAAATACTACTAGCTCAACTTTATAAAAGAACCAGATCAACTTTATCTTTGTTCTGTTGTTTATTAAAAATTCGCTTCCGAAGCAAAGCGAATCGATCTACATAATAAACAAATTCATAGACTAGATTCTAGTACCAAGTGTTTAAACTTTTTTTTAAATGTCATAAAATAACTTACACAATTATTGAAAGACATTTTTTGATAAGTAATATATATTTTATCTCGTCCGGCCGCTCTCTGGTTAGTTTAGGCTTGAGGGGAGAAACACATACAAAAAATATGGATGGCCTTATGCAAATGACACTTGGCATGCCAATCAAGAGGGATCTGGGTCACTGGGACCCGCCAAGTTTCACGGATCGAGTTACTTCGGCATGAGGAGCTTCATCGGACAAGTGAGACTTTGCGCAAATACATTGCTACTGGGCAATGAAAAAAATGTCACGGAAACGACAAAAAACTACTTTGATCACGTGAAAATATTTTTGACCATTACCAGGATTTTTTACACGATGGTTGTCATCCAGATTCCAGATGAAGGCAAGACGAACACAACGAAGATAAACACTGTTGAAATCACCGATTACCGTGTATATGTGAGAAATGCTATTTATAAACTGCAGATATACCGTACACCACAGGATAACGATTGGTGCCGTGACACATATAATGTTTTTTTGTTTGTTCAATTACAGTTCATATTCATCACGACAAACGTATTAATTCGTTGTCGTCGGGACATCTAGAATAGCTCAGAACAAGAACGTCTATAATTTCTGTGTTGGACTGCGTTGGATATATCGTGGACATTCCGCGGTATCATTTTATGAAGATGTGAAGACGACATGGCAGGTAGGTTTTGAAACCAAAGACCTTCGCGTTTGTTGAAAAGTCTTGGAATCGTTTGATAGATATTTATTACCATTAAAACTTACGTCCTTATTGTCAAACGGCCCACGTGGGTGGGTGTTTACATGACGTCACCCGTTTACGCATTAACCAATGAAATGTGTGTTATCATGACGTCATATTGACCTGTCAGATCACTCGTATAAGCTCCGCCCACTAGAGACTTGCCTCGGGAAGATGCCGTTATTACTGAATTAGGGTTAGTGGGTTGACTGCAGTATTGGGTTCCAGAAACCCAAGGTATTCTATTACAACGGCGACGGCAAGAGTTATGCCAATATAAGGTCACATACGAAAGCATTTAATTCATTTCGTTATGCCCCAAAGACCCCCTGTTTTAGCGAGGCGACAAAATATCTTCTGAAAAACATCAGCGTTAGAAATTGGCACGAGTCCTGTAGTCCTTGCCCAAACTGCCCATTAGTTAAGGTATCATAAGGACTAGTAGAAAGGGTTTTTCTATATGTTATCTAGTGGTTCAAACCTGTTAGTTTCTACCGCTGAAGATAGAAACCGTTAGGCGTAATAAGGAATGAGCTCGTGCACATCCCTTACCAAAATGGCGGAAGGTGTCCAGTATACTGCATTCTTGCCATTTTGAGCTTCAGTCCCGATTCACGTAGCCATAATACCGGTACATAGGCCTAATGGGCTCGTATAATGCGTACCATGTTACCATTTAGTCATCAGATTACCGACGCCATCGGTGGGTTGGGATCAGTATGCTCTCCCAAGACATCTAGGTTTCAATTTCGTTTTATCATATCGCCATTTCTTCTTACAACCATCTTGTACTTGATTTTCTCCAAAAATATAACTTTGTTACATACAAAATGAGTGCGTAGTTAGCGGTGGGCTTTTTGGATATGACTCACAGTGTCTCTAACTCATAAACAATACAAACGAAACACGCATATATACTTACTTGTAATCTGTTCGTTCATCCAACTGCAGTAGCGTCTACTAAAAGATTTCAAGACTAATGTTAATAAATGACGTGACTGGTGACGTCATAACACGAGGTATTTAATTCAACCAATCAACAGATACTGCGGATACTTTATCGGGAGTTGTCGCGTGCTGAGATAAGACTGGTAACATGTCCTTAGCTGGTTCCCGGCTCCATATGGGCGTCGTCAACTTGCGCCAAGCTAGGAGCCGGTACAGGCCAAAAATCTGATGGCGGGCCTAGACCAACAAAATCAACTGAGAACAGTCTCGCTAATCTTTTGGAGTGCTACGGCGGATTAAAAGTGGTTCATGGGTTGAATTCGAAGTGAAGACAGAAAAATTTAAAAAAATGTATTTCGGAAATTCGATGATTTTGTTTGCGTTTTCCCATAAACCTAAAACAATGGGCGATCTTTTTCAATTTATCTTCCCTTCACTAACCCGCTAGGTGCGCTGACCCGGACGGTCCAACCTTAACTGACGGCGCATGTGGTATTGATTTAATGATACATCAGGGATGACCACGACTGGACTTCACACATTGTACCTATGTCGGGAATCGAACACGGGTGTTCGGCGTGACGAGCGAACGCTTTAACCACCAGGCTACCCGACCGCCTCGGAATGTTTTACAAATTGCAGCGCCATTCGGCGTTCTTTATTGTCAACGTCATGTAGCAGTTTAACCCTCTGGATGCCGAGTTTTTTTTCTGACGCACATTTTCCTAAGTTCGGAAAAGTGAAGGTTGTGTCAGAATTGCGCTCACGCGGCACTGGATCTACCTCTGGCTATAAAATTACGCAGACATGGGGAATATTAAATTTCCTATTTGATGGTGTAAAGTTAACTGCAAATATTGAACCGGTTTTAAAAAAATACACTTCTAAGTGTTGCCCGAGAATTTTTTTCTGCCTTGAAAAACAGTAAATTTCTCCGCTTTTTATCGTACACCGATAAAAGTACTGTGCGACGATTTTTTTTATTTACAAGCTTTACGGAATCTGTGAGCGAACAAAATACTGCCTAATATCTGAACGACATAACTATATACCAAATGGAGTTATAAGCGTATGTATAACGACAAACATGCAATGCCAAAAATAGATTGCCGTAAATGAGGGAAAGTGATTTTTCTCTATGACGTCAAAAGGTGACAGAGAGGTTACACACGTACACAGAAAAGAGGGCATAACTCCGCTTTGCTTAGCACTAGTTTATTGTAACCCAGGTCACTTGGTGAGAATTAGCTGTGGGTAAGGATAATCTATTTTCGTGGTGTTTTGTTCACGAGGAACCAAACTATTCCAACACAAATATCGATAAAGAAACTGTATACGTTTAGTTGTAAAAAAACCCCATAAGAAATGATGAAATCGTGCTTCATAAAAAAGAGGTAATAGAGAAATGGATGGCCCTATCTAAATTATAACTTAGTCCTTAGATTCCAACATTCTCCTGAATGTGTAAGTGTAATTTGACTAATGTTGCACCATTATTAATGGAGCACTAGCCTTATCATCAAATGTAATGAAATACCCAAAGAAATAACACCGTTCTATTTGACGCCATGGCTGGTTTTATGTCTTTCATAACGTCGGAGAAAGATGACTCTGGTATTTTGATTAATATATATCTCCCCTAATTTTCGTTCAAGATATGGAAAATCTCGATGTGTAAAACGGAATTTCACGCTTTTTCGACACAACATAAAATGACTGCTTTCACCAATTAAATAATGTCTTGAAAATGTAAACAATTAGCTAGTTTATCGTGTGTCTTTATTGGACAAGACACGCACCTGTTTGGCCTAAATTTACGTAATGAAATACCCAATAGAATATTTCATAACAACCAAATTATATTCAATATTGGACAGATATTGTTATTATTTCTCTTCATCTCGTCTAAGAATTACACACTAAAAGATGCGAAGAAAGCTCTTTTGGTATAGAATTGTCAGGATAATCGTATACGGTTGAACCAACAGCTAGGGTACTTGGCATGGGTTTTATTTTTATACATTTTACAATTCCTAGAGAAATAAAGTGAACAGTTTAATATCCTGTGATCACAATATTAAAAAAAGAATGAACCCATTGATTATATAATGCAAAACGAGAGGAATAATGCGTAAATCGTGTGTGGCTAACACGCACCTGGCGAATCGTTAGATATCACGGCCATGTGTATCAAACGACAAAAAAAAATAAAAATTCCAAGACCAAGACAATTCTTTCAGAAATGTGTGTATATCTTTTTACGAAAAATATTATCCATTTTGTTAAAGTAATAGAGACCTATTCAGTTTTAGTTATAAAATAAAATGAAACAGCTATTCAAAGACATTGGTTACATGGACTTATGATATTGACTTTTACACATCCCAAGAAATACGTACATGCTGCAGTTACCTTTACGCTTCATCTTGTAACATTTGTCCAAAGGAAAGAAATATCGTATTCGACACAAAAACCCTATCAATTGTTATGTAAACAATGTTCAAACAAACAGGAGATTATCAAAGGTTCGTTCATACATGTTGTGGCTTATATCTGCGTATGATATCATTTTGAACATTGACAAATATCCAAAGGGAAATTAATTGTGTGAAAAAATGTATAAAACGTATGCAAAATCTACATCATAACTGAAACTGTAAACAGCATGATACAATGATCGTGTGCACTCTCATTCAAGGACCTTCACCTCAAAGAAATTACCAAATATGTACAACAATGTTGACGTATGACATCACTACCTGTGACCGACTTTTACAAAATGGCGTGTTCACTGTCAACAGTACGCGGGATTTTACGAGGGGACTTTCGTTGATTCAGGGATCGCATATACATAAATGTGACATGTAAGTAATCAGAAACATTCTGACAATCTATGTACTGTTATTTGTTGTTATAATTTTCATTGAAAAGAACCGAAATAGGCAGAAATTCCGATAAATACCGTTGTCGTTGTGCGTGATTTTGCGTCAGTCATGGCGTCACACAGGACGGTAACTTTGACAATTTCTGTTGAAAATATCAAATCATTGCAATGTATCTATTTTAAATTCCCTAATTTTTCCTACTATTCTCTTCCCGTGCATATTCTGAAAATGTTGAGCCAATGTCTTGAAAGAATAGACGAATGGATAGCTCAAAATAGGAGAAAATGCTACACTGTGTAAAATCTGTATTTTGCTTTGTTTACATTTCAAACAAGTGCAGTTTTTCGAGCACAGCGTTCGTTTTCACGCCTTATTTATTTTGCTTGATTTCATCCAGCCGCTACGTATTGGTGACAAAGACCATTGTTCATTCGATTCTAAAATGTGTGAGGAATTCAAGGATGTGTGTATCGCAGCTAAGTTTGAAATATACGTGATGTTACAGGCGCCTCATAACCGGTGTACGTGAAACGTGATTTTGTAAACACTATCCAATATGGAAGAAAGTTCACTTCGGCGTTCGTGTTTGCGTATTTTCCAAAACATTCGAAACGATTCTCGGGTTATCGGAGACGTTTTGAAATGATCATTGGTGATTTCATAAAAGACAGATACCCGTGATCACTAATATGCTATTTTTGAAATTCATTTCTCCGAGTAAATATCCTAAATTTAGATTTCAAAACATGCTGTAAATAACGCCGTGAGTGGTGATTTAGTAATGTGTAAAAAATGGCGACATTTACGATGTACCTAATTTTCAGAGGTCATTTTCAGTAATTTTGCTTGGCCTAAAATGCCAGTGGATGATATCACAGAACAGGGAATTTCCCACCTTATTCAAAACTGTGAAGTGTATTTGTGTGGGTGATGTATTTTGAATTTTATTCGACTTCAAAGCGAGGGTTGTAGAGGAAGGACATACATGTCCCTCTGGCAACCAGGTGGTTAACCCTCTGGCTGCCACCTAAAAATAGCCTGTGTACTATCGCTGTGCCGAGTTTATTTGCGAGTGACGTTGTGGAAACTGCACACTTTCGTCTAAAAACGACGTAACGTAACAACGATAAAACCCACAATTTTCAAATTTCACACTAGAACAGCACAACCATTTCCCTAACTGTCTATGTAAATATTGTAAAGCATTAACGTGATTAACAGTAGTTTATAGCTCGGCAAACGTATTGAATATGCGATTTTTTACAAAATGTCCATGGCGGCTGTTTTGTTGACATTGCGCACTGGATACTTTGAGCGTCTTGTCAGGTTGTAAATCTCCACCAATATAAAAACCAAAAACATTATGCGAAAGCCCGTTTGTTTCCCGATTACCGTGTTGAAAATGAAACATCTCCGTGGAAAATCGTCCGCGAAATCGTCGATTACGAATTTGTTCAAATATGTGTGACGCCATTTTGTCCGTAAATTAGTGAAATTGTAACGTTATCGTTTGCATATCATGTCGGAAAAAGCATATTAATGAAAAAACTATTTATGAGTAAGGAATAAAATCTTATCCCTAAAATCTGTGGTTTATTACCTACATGCTGATATAAATTGTAACGTGTAACCTTAGCTATGAAATTCAAAATTACGTACTTTTAGAAAGAAGAGAACGAAATCGCATTTCAAACTAAAACTTATACGCGGTGTTGTGTTTTCTTCATTGCAATAAATTATTTTTCTTTTCGGTCATTATTCATTTTTTAGTAAGAAAATCATACTATGTAATCTGCAAAGAACATGCCCTTATGCATGGCATATTTTTACTTTTCTTGCACCGAAAGGTATTCCTCACGGCTCATGTCATTCAGTTCACTGTAAATACTCCTACCAGGCGATGGCGGACATGTCCATTTGCACGTCGACGAAATTTGCATACAGACGATTGAACGAGTTAGTCTCGTATCTTTATGAATCCTTAATAACGTTGTTTTATTTTCATTTTTAACTAATAACGATTATACAAACACAAAACAATAAAAAAAATTCACATGAAGTAGAAACCATACGAAAATGCCTTTTGTGTTGTCGACAGCTTTAGTTTTGAATATTTCAAAATGTCGTCGACCGTGTTCAGCGGTGTTTGGGATTTTGGATTTACTATAACATCTTTGACAGCAACCGAGATAGTAAGTACATTTGAACATCATTCTGTAAGCAAAGCTTAGTGTTCTA